GGAGACGGTATAGCTGCCGACGGGTGTGATGAACGATCGCAGTTTTTGTCTATTTGGTGTGAGTAATCGCGCACTCAGGGCCTTCGACTACACACGATAGGTGTGACTAACAGATGCACTTAAGGCCTTCTCTTAGACACGTGTGACTTCAAGACGCTCTAAGGGCCTTCTCTCCGACACGATTTGTATGATAAACAAGCACTACGACCTTGTTTAAACACACTATAGAACACAATGTTCCCCCTTTTCTATTCACTCATGAATTCCAAGACTTATAATTATGAAGAGGTATATGTGTATTTATAGGTGCATAAAGTAAATCTAAGTCTAACTAAACTGGATCTCCTAATTCAATAATTAAAAGCAATAAGGAAATAAAATCCTAGTATTACTAAAACTCCTAAATACTTGACTTGCACTCCAATTTACTTGAAGCCCAAGTCATCTCCTCAGAAACTCCCTTCGCACGCCGCCTCATCACACCGCCTCCTGCGCGCGCCGCCCTTGGCGTTCCTAGACCTCGGCGCGCGAGGCATCGCGCGCCTCGTCCGTCTCACGTGCGTACGCCGCCCTCGCCTCACCTATTCCTACGGGGCATAGGTCTCTCGCGCTTGTTCCACAATTGTGCGCCATTGCGCGCGCCTCATGCCCGTCGCTTGTCTCCTGCGCGTGTGCGCCCGCGCCCAGTATTCCTAAGCCTGCACGGCTTAGGCTTTGCGCGTCTGCCCCATACTCGCGCGTCAATGCACGCACTCCGTCGTTATCATCTTCCTCGCGCGTGTGGTACCGCGCGCTCGCCATTTCTAGGCCCGTGTGTTGCCCACTCGCGCGCCCTTCGCACCCCGCCAGCTCTTCGCGTGACGCCCACGCGTCCCAGCCACCCACGCGAGTTCCGCGCACGCCACTTGCGTCCATCCCGATTGCGCTGTCGTCTCGCGCCCCGCGCGTTGCATCCATCGCCCAAGTGCTCCAATCGCCTACCGCGCATCCCCGTGCACCCACCGCACTGTGCGTACCGCTAACCTCCGTTGCTGGCCTGTCTGCTGCGCATCCGCATACGCCCAGTGCTATCTCGTGATCACTCGGCCATTCGTGCGCATCAAGGCACGATGCGTGCTCTTTGCTCGTGCTCGCCCCTTTATCGTCGATCGTCTTCGTTGGCTCCCCCGATGGTCCTGGCTCGTCTTATGGGTCCCATCCTTCCAACCCAATGCAATCTCCAGCACGCAATATCCATCCATCTTCCATCCTTTTCTTACCACGCCTTTTTGCCTCTATTTTCCAAGCTCGTTTCTTTCTCGCACAAGGCCCACAACAACGACTCGCCTTCTTAACCTTTGCCTTCCATCGCCTTCGAGCTTGCCTAGCCTTGTGTTTCCCCGCCTTTGACCTTGGACCACATCCCTTTGGCCAATCTCTCACGCATGAAGGATGATAAATCGGACTAGATGGCTCCTCCAGCATGTTTTCCAACCATATATCGAGATCTTCGACCATCCCGTCGCTTGACTCACCGAGGTTAATAACCACTTCCGTATCATTCCCCTCCTCTTCAAGACTTTCCTTATCCTCAAGGATAATGAAATTAAGCGCACCTTCATCATCATTGTTTTGAATTTCGGCACATCAGCTTCCCTGGCTTCCATGAGTTGTCGTTTGAACTCCTCCAAATTTCTTCGTTCATGAAGCTCCTCAAAATACGTTTGCTCCCACGGGGTCAAATCCCTCTCCAAGCCTTCCAGATACTCGAGATCTTCCAAATCTAACTCATCCAGTGGCTAGAACCTCATGACTCTTTTTTGTTAAAGACTCTATGAGTAAAATCAATCAACTAGATGACACTTTTTTCTTTCTTTTTTTGACACTCAATTCACGAAAAAAATTCGAAGAAAAGAAGGAAAATTCAAATAAAAAATTCGAACCAAAAAGAAAAAGAAATTCGGCCCCTCAGCAAAAGGCAAAGCGAAAAAAAAATAAAAAGATAGATAGACAAAAACTTTGATCGGACAGTCTCTCAATGAAAGGACCAGTGATGAACGATCGCGGTTTTTGTCAATTTGGTGTGAGTAATCGCGCACTTAGGGCCTTCTACTACACACGATAGGTGTGACTAAGAGACGCACTTAAGGCCTTCTCTTAGACACGTGTGACTTCAAGACGCTCTAAGGGCCTTCTCTCCGACATGATTTGTATGATAACACGCACTACGGCCTTGTTTAAACACACGATAGAACACAATGTTCCACCTTTTCTATTCACTCATCAATTCCAAGACTTATAATTATGAAGAGGTACATGGGTATTTATAGGTGCATAAAGTAAATCTAATCCTAACTAAACTAGATCTCCTAATTCAATAATTAAAAGCAATAAGGAAATAAAATCATACTACTACTAAAACTCCTAAAGGCTTGACTTGCACTCCAATTTACATGAAGCCCAAGTCATCTCCTCAAAAACTCACTTCGCACGCCGCCTCATCGCACCGCCTCCTGCGCGTGCCGCCTGTTATCATCCGACTCGGTAATCCATTATTAAGAGCCTTAAATGGTGCCTCGAGCAATTTAGCGCTTACACCGACCCTGTTCGACATTTCCCCGGTTCGTAGGACGAACCGGACTGACCTTAGAAGACCGAAGTGACCATCGCCAACCGGAGTCATCCCTACCGAGATCAACACGAACCAAGGTTGTCACCTCCTAAAGCAGGTGACAAGGCGCCTACACGCCCCTTTCACGATCCCCGAGATCTGCTATCACTCCTTTGGGGCCCACTAAATCTACCGCCCATCTAAAAGTAGCTTAATGGAAAAAGTAACGCACGGATCCCGATATATGTACCGAAAAAGTTACTATAAATAGTGAACTGACACTACTTGTACGGGATTTGAGTTTTTTCTTCCAAACACCGAACTCTTTTATAATGAAACATGAAACAGCTCTCATAAGCTTTTCACCTCGGTTCACCTCGGACTGGGGCCATTATTGAGTATTTTACCCATACTTTACGTTCGAATTGATCATCATCATTAAATAAATACAGAACTAAATCATTGTTAGGAATCACATAACAACAGTTTGGCGCTAGAAGGAGGGCCTCATACGTGATTTGAGGTTAATCTCCGATTCTTGTTTAGTGATTAACGTCAGTCATATCAATCATGTCTCATTCAGATCATCGTGGTCATACGTCGCGAGATGGCCACAGTCGTAGTGCTGCGCAATTCGCCAGACGACAAGCAGCAGCCCCCAATATACTAGATTATACTGTTATGTTCCAAAATCCAGAGTTTGCACATGGGTTCGCCGCCCTGATGGCTCAAACAATCCCTGTAACATCAACAACTGCACCAGGACAATCCATAATACCCACGACTCCCGCAAATCCGCAGAATCCACCGGTGCGACAAGACGGCGGAAGAACCACTTTTCACGCCACGTCTCAACCTCGCAGTCGAACGTCGCAGCCGCCTCCAGAACAAACCACACGTCGCACCGATGTTGGACGCAATCCCCTCGTACTTCCTCACGAAGAAACTGCCGAAAGTCAGTCTGGACATTCACGGCGGTCACCACCTCATGCGCGACATCGAATCCCCTCTAATCCGGTGCAAACTGACCTTCGTCAGCATATTGAGAGAAACCGAGCTCGCCAAGAATCTTCCGAACTCGAAACATTGCGACCAAGAATCGCCGAGTTGGAAATTCGGCAAAGGATGCCCGAAGACCCCCCTCGGCAGACCTCAACTTCGGCATAAGTATATCTGGAAGCCGACTCCCCTCTCACACCGGAGCTCACTTTGGAACCTGTACCTGGGAAAGTCAAAGTTCCTCAAATTGGGTTATACGATGATACTTCAGACCCCGACTCACACCTCGGTCACTATATTTTGTGGATGGATCTGCATAGGGCCTCAGACGCACTTCGGTGTCGCATGTTTTCTCTTACGTTGGGACCTCGGGCTCAAAGTTGGTACCATTCTCTTCCTCCTCATTCTATTTGGAAGTGGCAACAGTTGAGGTCAGCTTTCCGATCTCATTTCATCGGGGCCCAAGTGTGTTTAATTCCGAAAGAATCCCTTGCAAACGCGACTCAAAAAGATGATGAAAGCGTCAAGGACTACATCGCTCGATTTAACGACCGAGTTCAGAATATGGAGCCGTGTCATCCTGAAACCTTGCTTGTTATGGCTATCGCCGGGCTGAAACCGAACTCGATTTTTCGCTGGACATTGTGTCAAAATAAACCAAACACCTTTCAAGAATTCCTTGCTCGAGCTCAACAACACATCATAGCCGAAGAAGCCATGTCGGTACCCGAATTTAGTTTTAACCTAAAGTCTTCTAAGACGGGAACCGACGAGAATAAAAAAAATACTAATGAATGTTTGAGTTTGTTAGCTGCATTGTTACGCTTAATCGGTCATCCGCAGCTCAGAAAGTTTTATCGCAATACCGATCCCCAAAAACGAGGGCCAGGGCGTCAAATTGAATCTTATGATGAAGACGAAGAGGAGGACCGAGGTGCTATGCCGAAGCGCATTCGACAGGGAGACAAAGAAGTGTTCATGTTCACCTCGGAAACGTCTAACACTAAACCAACAGGAAACTCTCGTGGACGCAAACGAAGCCGATCTCCTAGTCCAATGCAAATTACTGTTCATCGAGTTAATACGAATAATTCCTGAGGTAATTCATCTCGTCGACAAATCAAGCCTTACGCCCGGCAAGCTTACAACTCCAGCAGACAAGTGTACACCACCGATCTGAGAGACATCCTCAATAACCAGAACTGTCCCATAACTTTTAATATGGAGGATGCGAATCATTTTGCACACCCTCACTCGGACGCACTTGTTATTACTGTCCCTATATATGGAATCCCAGTACATCGCGTAATGGTCGATACCGGGGCCTACTCGAGCATTTTGATGCTAAAAGCTTTTGACAAAATGGGACTGGATCCCGCCGACATCCGACCTTGCAACGACCAAATACAAGGGTTTAACAGTAGCATTTCAAGACCCATCGGCGAGATTACTTTACCTGTCCGATTTGGTACAGCTGAACGCGTTACCAAACTTGTTATGGAGACTTTTAAAGTCCTTGACATCAACAACGAGTACAATGCGATCATCAGAAGAACCGCTTTGTACAAACTCCGAGTTGCAGTTTCCATCTTTCACTATGCCCTTAAATTTCCAACGACCCGAGGAGAAGGGACACATTTCGGAGATCAAAGAGAAGATCGAGAAATTGTCAGTTTCATACCATCCCCCGGAGTCTATTCCACCACTCCGGTTAACGAAGAGAATTCCCTACTACAGAACACCTCGGACGACGCAGTTTCCGAAAGGCCGAACCACAACGCCGATGTTCCTCCTACCTCGGATCCCTTATCTGAAGACCGAGGTAGACGGACCGGAAAGGAGCCACTCCGTGAAGAAGACGAGTTGGAACCAAGAGCTCAATTCAAAGAAAAAAGCCGAAGTGATCGAGCTGAGCCCAGAGAAGAAGTAGAGTTGATCTATATCGACGAACCAATCTTTCAAAAATCGTTGCGTATTGGGTGCCGTTTACAAGAACCTCTCCGGTCCGAACTCGTCTCGTTCCTCAAGAATAATTCTGATGTTTTTGCTTGGAAACATGAAGACATGAAGGGCATCGACCCCGGTGTCGCTAGCCACAAGTTGAACCTTGATCGAACTGTCCGACCAATCGTTCAAAAAAGAAGAAAATTTGGACGGGATCGTCAGAAAGCGTTGGAAGAGGAAGTCAAGAAACTCATCGACAACAAGTTCATTAAAGAGGCCAAATATCCGACATGGGTCTCAAATCCCGTCCTCGTCAAGAAAAGCAATGGCCTATGGAGGTTGTGTATCTACTTTTCCGATTTAAACAAGGCGTGCCCGAAAGACAGTTACCCGCTCCCGCATATAGATTATATGGTTGATGCCACATCGGGACAAGAGTTGATGAGCTTCATGGATGCCTACTCCGGTTATAACCAAATTCCTATGGATCCCGAAGATTCAGAACACACCTCGTTTTATTCGGCACGGGGCCTATACTGCTATACCATGATGCCATTGGGATTAAAAAACGCTGGGGCCACTTATCAGCGTCTTGTCAACAAGATGTTTGCCAATTTGATAGGTCATACCATGGAAGTTTATGTAGACGACATGCTCGTCAAGTCGGTGCACGCTTTTGATCATATAACACACCTTCAGGACATGTTCAATATCCTCCGATCTTATTCCATGGTCTTAAATCCCAAGAAATGCACCTTCGGAGTTGAGTCTGGAAAATTTCTAGGATATATGGTCAGCCAACGTGGAATCGAGGCCAACCCGGCCAAGATAAAAGCCATTCAAGATTTGACTCCCCCAACCTCGGTCAAGGGCGTACAGGCCCTAACTGGCCGACTTGCTGCACTTAACCGGTTCATCTCCAAATCCACAGATCGTTGTAAACCTTTTTTCGAAGCAATCAAAAAAGGAAAGCGCTTTGAATGGACCGAACAGTGTCAGAAGGCCCTCATCAGCATTAAGGAAACACTTGCCTCTCCACCGACGTTACAAAAGCCGAAACCCGAGAAAATGTTGTTTTTGTACCTCGGAGTCAGTGATTCAGCGATCAGTGCTGTTTTTGTAATATCCCGATATTTAATCGGTATAAATTACGTTTTAGTTCCGATATAATAATGTTGTCAATTATTATTTTCGGAATTAATTATTTTCAGTTGAGATTACCGAAATCTATTTTCGACGTACCGTTTACGTTCGGAATAATTTTGATAATTAAGTAATATGTTTAATTGAATAATTAAACATAGTTAGTGATTAATTAAGCAAATTAATCACATTTTTTAAGTCAAAACCGTGACTTAGTGAAGTAGTCCCAAATTCAGCTAATAAAAAAATGAAAATTTCATTATCAATTAGAAGTCAAATTTCTCATCTTTTAGCTTAATACGTGGCAAGATTTAAAGATGCTTAGTCATTCCTACAATAGCTCAATTAAGAGCAATTGTTAAGCCATTAAAAAACCACGTTTCACCACCCTAAATTCCTAAAATTTTTCTCTCTCGGTTTTGGAGGAGAGACTTTCATTTTCACTTCTTTTCTCTCCCTTCAAGTTCAGCAAACAGAGACTGAGATAGAGAAACCAAATTTTGTTCCATAACTTAAGCCTATCAAGAAGAAAATTCACCGCTATCACACGGCAAAGACACACACACCACACCGGTTACACTCACGCAAGAACAGAAGGGAAAATTCTAAGCAAATCTTGTGAATTCGATCGAGGTTTGACGAAGGTAATTCAGAGTTACCTCTGAATTGGTCATGTAAAAGTGAATTAGTTCGGATTTTATTGTAGTTAGGAGCAATTCGCCGTGTATATTAGTGAAGGTCCGTGTGTGTGTGTTAATGTGTAGAATTGAGTTCAGACACCGTGTTTATTGCAGAATTTTGGCAGTATCAGACCTTAATTAGCTGAGATTTGTAATTGAGTGATCAGTTTTGAAGTGTTAGATGTTGTTGTATGATCGGTTATCGGCCGAGGAGGTGGCAGCGCACATCGCGCATGCCACGGGCTGTCGTGTTTGGTTCAATTATAGTCTCGGTTGTTTATTCAGGTCATGTTTTCATAGATTGAAATGTTGTTCATGTTATATTGATATGTTGTTGCCGAGGAAAAAGATTAAGTTGGCCGAGTGTCGGCCATTGCCGTTAGCGGCGCATGGCGTGCCGCCGCGGCCCTTATTCAGTCATTAGTGCATAGTTTTATTAATTCCAGTAAATTTCAGAATGATGTTAAGTTAAGTCAAAAGATGTTAATTAGAGTCAGTTCGGTCGGAGGTTAATGCCGGAAGGCCGGTGAGTGTCGGCCGAGGTCGCGCTGCCGCACACAGCGGCAGCAGCGCATCGGCCAGCAGCCCTTGTGCCAGGCAGCGTGCGCAAGCGAGGTTATGTGCGCGTTGCCTGTGCGCGGTAGCATTGCGGGCATTGTCCAGTGCGCGTCCGCAGCCCAGTCATGCCCAGCGGACACCTCAATGCCGCTGGCAGTCAGCCCGTCAATCCCAGCGCCCGCGGTCAATCCGGACAGCGCCCGTGTGCGCAGCTTCGGCAGGCCGTTGGCCAAGCCAACAACCGTTAGTCCGGTTAAGCGGACCGATTGTCCGGTCCAGACCGGTTCAGACCGGCTGGCCGGTTCAGCAGCATTTTGAGCCGGTTTAGCCATTTTTAGCCCGGTTTAGCATCTTGAGTCATTTTCAGTAAATTTTCCGGGAATATTTCAGTTCAGAAAAATCATGTCCAAATCAGTTCAGCTTAATTCAGTTCCGGTTAATCCGGATAAGTCTAAAAATCAGATTAAGTTTAATAGAGCATCTTAACGAGATTAATCAGTTAAATTAAGCAGTCTGAGCATAGTCAATAGTAATTGTTTATATTATTTTCAGTTTAACAGGCATCAGCACTACCTATCAGTTCAGCAGTTCAGGTGGGGACTCAGACTAAGTACTACATTGTTTATAATTGCTCTACCATGTTTGAGGTATGTATTTTTCAGTAACCACTCGGGATGGTCGCCGGTCCATTCTGGGTTCTAGTGGCCTTATCTAACCACTAGAGTGTGCACATGGTCCGGTATTAGTTTGTGCCGGGAGATAGCGGCATTAGTTTGTGCCGAGCGGCATTAGTTCTGTGCCGAGCAGATTCAGTTACGTGACTTCGGTCGCGAGTTCAGACCGGTATCAGTTCAGTTCAGTTCAGATATATATGCTTAGTTCATGATATTGTTATTATTTACGATGTTTTACATTAGTATGAGTTTCCACGGAGCACAGTGCCTAGTGCTCACGCCCAAGTTATATCTTACTTTTTAGGTCAGCAGGTCGGGCCGGCGGTGTGACATGACGGGAGCAGCTCGGGACAGTCAGGACATTTATTTATATGTTTTGGACTGTATAACTAATATTTACGCTTCCGCCTACGTTTTGACTATCTTTTGACGATGGTTGATGATTTTGACGATTTTATCATATTTTGATAAACTTTTCAGATAAACGGTTTTTGAATAACCGGACGTTTTTAATAAGTTAAAACAACGATTTTTCTAAAGATAAGTAAAGATTTTCACGGTAGCACCCCAAATCAGTTTCGCAAAGTAAAAATATTTTAGTTTTCACAGACTTTGCGAATAAATGCGCTACTCTGATTTATCTAGTAAGGTGGGGTGTTACAATTGGTATCAGAGCACGTTTCTGCGTCTCTGATAAGTTTTCAGTCAGATAAGTTTTCAGTTAAATAAGTTTTCAGTCAGATAAGCTTTCAGTCAGTCAGTCTTCAGATAAGTTTTCAGTAAGTAAGTTTTCAGTAATTTTTCAGAAAAGTTTTCAGAAAAGTTTACAGTCCGAAATTTTCAGTAAAAACCCGAACCGTCATGTTCACGCCCCGCCGACAACAGGTAAGTGCTGTTGCAATTCAGTTTTCAGTTATTATAAACATATTACTTTGTCTATGCTCAGAATTGAGAATCAGAACTTTAGTTAAGATGCTCGAATCAGATTCAGACTCTAGAGGTTGGACATGACTCTAGAATTCAGGCATTCAGATATGACTCTAGACGTTAGGATTTTTCCGAGATGACTCTAGAGTTCTTCAGGTTTTCAGTCAGTAATTATCAGCTATTCTTGGCAACTCGTCAAGAGATCTGTGTGCCTAGTAATCAGTCAGTAATGATATCGCATACTCAGTAATGTTAAAATTTTTCCCGATGTTCAGATACCGCCTCGTAGGGAAACCCGATCACTCAGTATTTATTCAAGCCACAGTAGTCGCACAGTTCCGCGACTATTAAGAAATTCTTTGGCCGAAGAAATACCCGTATCAGGGGCAAGTGAATTCATAATCCTTTCATAGAAAGGATTGAGTTTAAGAACTCTAGATTCGATTCTAGATTCACTCAAGTCAAGTTAGTAACTTGTCAGAAGATTTGTAAGCATTGTGCTAAACAAATCGTAAGAATCATGTTTCTCAGAAATTTTCATCGAGAACTGCCATTCTGTCTATCAATTGGCAGATTTCAGGGAGGAATTCCTTGATTTAATTCAAGGAATAGACTCAAAGTTCCTAAGTCAAAACAGTAAGTCTTGTTCAAAGCAAGAATGTTCATGTTAAGGGTTGTTATAGTTCTCAAGTCATCAGTAACGGTTTCCAGTGTATAAGAGTCAATAGTCCGGGTTACCATGGAGGCTTGAAATAAGAGCCACTCAGCCGGGTATATCATGGAGGCTTGAAACTGGGGCCGAATCAGTGAGATTTCAGGAAATAACAACCTTTCAAGTCAGTCATGTCAGATATTTTATTAGTCATGCTATCTTAAGTTATGACCTTCAGAAGTCAAGATCAGCTAATTACTTTGTACTTGCGGGACCAGTTGATACTGGAGCAGCCCCATATAGTACAGAGTTCAGATTCATGATTTTTAGTTCATGTTTATGATATAAGGTCGACGTATAATAGTTGTTCAGCCGGGTAATAGGTAGCGGTCTGATATACAGACCATCAGTTCAGATTTACCTGGAAACTTGAAGTCGTACCTTATCAAGTTAAGTAAGTCAGTAAATATCACGTTTTCAGTCCTGAAGCAACTATTTAAGTTGTCTCGGGATAGTTTCAGAGTTTGAACATAGATGATTCAGCCATACGAGAGTTAAGTCATGGTTTTTCAGCCATGAGAATATTCAGGTCAGTCAGGACAAGATCAAGGATAGTCTGTCTGGTAAGACAAGACTTATCCACCATTTTCAGTATGTCAGCGCCCCGATTCTCAAATTCTGAAGAATCTGAGAAATCGTGAGAGATATTAAGTCATGAGGGACTTCTTCTTGAAGTTAAGTATAACCTCGGAGGGAGTAAAAAGTTGCAGGTATTGCAGGTTGACATTCGCCGCAATGGAGAAGAGCCAATCGACAACAACGGATCGTGCCATGATGATAACCGATGCTTTCTATTGAAGGATGCCATGTCTATGTCTCAGTACACGGGGAGATTACGGAGAGAGTCTTCACTACCAGCATTCCGAACGGAAATCCGCCAGCAGCCAGGAGAGGATGACCAACATATTTCAGAATTTCGTTTTGAAATCATGTCTTAGCAAGTGGAACACTTTTTTTCAGAAA